TTTAAATTATCTTTATCTATTTTCTGTTTCGAATTTTGAAGATGTTCGTACATTAATAAATTTGTTTTTATGGAAATAAACAGGTCAAAGAAAAATCCCCATTTTATTGTCCTCAACAAACAACTTGATCTAAATAATAGTCCCTCCTGAACCTATAACCCAGTTCCCAAAAGCTACATTATATCAAAAGCTTTGTTTTGTTATATTCATGGATACTTCAGGTATACAAAATGTAGGTTCCAAATCATTTATGATAGGATAGACAACATAAGTATAAATTACTCAGATTTAAATGTAATCAGTTAGTTTTGAAAGTGGTGTAATAGCCGAAGCTAGTCTACACAACGTGGAAAATAGACAAAAGTGTGTTTTTGTAGTGTATCCTCAGTGAACATGAATTTCCACAAAATAAACAAGTCGTCAATCAAAGAAATGTAAAAAGAGCTTCAATTGAATTGTTACCATAAATCAGCTCAGCAGTACGACATCGCATATTCTAATTTTCTTAGCTAGTGTAGATTTAAGAACGTAGAAGAAAATGTCAGGGAAACCGTCTTCTTAGCCTATCTAAAAGAGAACTCAAAAATATGGAACTCATCAACTGTTGCGTCTTTATTTGTAATTTTCTATTTTTATTAGTATTATTATTGTTGGCATGGAGCGACTTCTAAGGGCGCATGCTCAAAACTCGATTGAAGTATATATTATCAAATAACTGNCAGTTCTCTCTTAGCCCCAAAGACCAAAACTGAACTTTTACTAGCATTGATTTGAAGACAATGCTGCGCAGAGGTAGAAATCAATGAGGCTATGTCTTCATTTAGCATCTGCATTGCAGTAATCATGTCCGAAGGGTGGAATGAAAGATGTAATTGTGTATCATCAGCGTATAGGTTTATTTTGGAGTATTTGATTACGTTCACAAAGTTTGGGGTGTATAATATAAATAAAAGAGGACCTAAAATCGAGCCTTGTGGAACGCCGAAATATATGGAGCCTGCCGGCGTGAAGAGCTGTGCCAGTTATTAATAGAAGACATTGAATTAATAGATAAATCATTGATTGTTTCAAGAATAGGTTGATCTTTTTGCATTGTTGGTAAAAACATTGATTATTTTAATAAATACGTTGCATTACGCCCTTCTGTTATCAATCATCAACATTTTTCACTGAAATACTCAAAATATGACTGCAGTGCCAACCCAGTTGATATAAACACGTTTGGAAAAATGCCCTCTGCCATTGATGAGTTTCTGAACCTTCCGGAACCAAAGGAATATACAGGTCACTGTTTCAGAAGGTCTTCTGCTTCCCTTCTAGCAGAATCTAGAAATATAACGGATATTAAGAAGCACGGAGGATGGAAGTCTACAACAGAAGGTTACATCGATCAATCTATTTCTTATGAAAAGGCTATTACTGAAAGAATAATCCCAACAGCTAGCTCCAGCGTTACAGCATCGCTCTCTTCACTTCAGGAATTGAATGTTAATTCCTTGAAATTGTCAAATCAGATAGTTCAAATATAAGGCTCTTCAACATCGCAAAGTAATAATATCAGCATTTGTTCTAATTTTACATTTTATATCAATGTTCATAAATAATACCTACTAATGTAATTAATGTATGTAATACATTTGTAACAAAATTTAATTGTAAATAGATCTTCATAATGTTCATAATAAAACTTCTTTGGAAATTGAATAATTATGTTTTGTTCATTGCTATTTGGTCGAAAAAAATCTCATTAAAAATATTTTCAACACTAGTGTTGAAAACGCTACTTTGTAAACATAATATTTTAAACCTCTTGACAACAATTGAAAATGTCACTTATAATGACAGTTGTACAAAAACAAAATTTCAATATTTTCATTGATTGAGAGATGAAGATCAATAATTCCCGTTAACTTTCAGATGATAGCAATATTTCAATGAATCCTTATCGTTAGTAGTACGGATATAGTTCATGAACTTCTGTAGCACGTGGATATCGTATGGCCACTAATCAAGATATTTGGTGTTTTGTTGATTATAGTTAGTGAGCAGGATCAATTTGTTTCATCTGCCATCAATGGTGTTGACATTCTTTTCAATTTCCATCGGACTTGCACACAGCAGATATAATTTTATATAATGATAATAATAATAATGGTACGTCTGCATTCATCATAACAACCCAAAATAAATACGACAAATAATCTTTTAGATGTATATGAATTTCGGATCATTAGTCTGTGAGACAGAACATTTTGAGTGAAGCAACTTTTGTTAGTTTGAAGAAAATAGATGAGGGAAATTATGTGTGTTGATGATGAGTTTCCAAAAATGGCAAAACTTTCATTGCCTAGTGATACGATTGTGGTACCCACCGACATCCTATAGAAGGGTAGCCCAAGAGTAAATTTTGAGATTTAGTCGAGTACGACAGATAAACATAGGAGGGGATCTATATCTGTATCTGTTGAGTAGGGAGGGTGAGTGTAGACTGACACAACGTAGGCTACATGTGACCCATTGTACATCCTCCCGAGGAGTTGTCCTTCTAGGTCATCGTCCATCCTGTCCTTTCCAGGAAGGTGGATAGGTCGCTGGGAGACATCTCCTTTATATCGGCAGGTGTAGGCCAAGACTAGCTGAACACACACTCTCTTATTGACGATAACTCCGGACACTCGCATAGGACATGCTTGACAGGTTCATCTTCCTGTTCACACAGGAGGTGTGCCCACTCACCCCATATTGTGGAGGTGTTTCCTTAGTTGACAGTGGCAGTCAGAAGTCCTATTGTTAAGCGTAGATTTTTCCTGGTCATCGCCAGATATTTCTTCGGCGCCAGCTTCCCAGGGTCGCCCAGCGTGATCCTGGCAAAATTGCATCTTTCGCAATTGTCGAAGTCTTCGGGCCGTAGGTGCCACTGGGTCCTAAAATTCTTAGTCCAGTCTCTTCCTTGGCTAAAGAGTCGGCAATGCCATTATCTTTACTCATGTCGTGACCTTTAACTCACCTCCGGGTAATGATTGAAACATATTGGTGCCCATTTTAACTCTAAACAAACTTATCGAAGCAGAAAGCGGAATTGTCTGACCTGACATTATCACTTCCGTTTCGGAGACATTTATCTTCTTGGAGAAAACCGATGCCTGGGTTTTTGTGGCATTGAATTGAACCTGGTTGCCTTCACCCCAATTCGAAATCACCTCCAGATCCTCATCAAGATATGCAACCTCCTGCTGCCGGTAAAAATGTGCCTCCGCAGCCGATGTCCTGGAATCCAAACGTAATGACAAGACAAGTGTGCTGTCGTCAGCAAAGCAATATATTGGATTCTTGTTTTTTTTTCAATTAGTCGTTGATATACAATAACAAAAGGATTGGAGACAATATGGATCCCTGTGGAATACCAGCATTAATGGTGGAAGTATTCGAGAGTTATCCATCGATGGCCACTTGCAGGGAACTTTCTTTCAGGTAGCTGAAGAGCTATACAGAAAAATGATTCGACAAGCCATAGCATCGAAGTTTGGCCAGCAAATCCGCATGCCACACACGGTGAAAGGCCTTCGAAATATCAAGTGCCACAGCTCTTGATTTTCAATTACGCCTTATTCCAAATATGGGTGATATACGATAGAGGATCGCCTGTTGATCTTTGGTTCCGAAAGCCATATTGGTGATCGCTGAAGATGTTGAAGCCTTCCCAATATGTGAGCACATAATGGTTCACGACTTTTTCTATGATTTTTGATAACACTGATAGCAATGCGACTGGTCTATAGTTACTTGGAAGAGTTTTCTTGCACTTTTTGGGAATAGGATGAACGCCAGCAATCTTACAACAAAAAGGAAAACCCCCTTTTTTGAGAAACAAGTGGAAAAGTCTCCCTCATATACTGTATTGTGTAGCGATTCTGTGAATGATATCTGATTCAATTTCATAACGAATGTGTGGAGTACAAACTGTATAGTAACTTTTTTGCACATCTTTATAAAATGTTCGTTTTAAAAGAATTTGCTTTCTTTTTTTCTTTGAAAGATTCCCACATTTTTTTCGTATGAAGATAGAATTGAATAAAATATTTATTTAACTATGTTATATACAAAAGTACGTTTATAGCAAGTCAGTTAGATTGAAGATACATAAAGATATATTAAAAATATGTTAAAATACCTAGAAGGACATAGTAGCGACAAATAAAGATTGCCACGTTGAGTATATTTACGATCATTCTGATCTGAAACATGAAAATAGTGATGATATTTATCAGAGCACTTCTGAGAAAACAGAGTCTAGCGAATGGGATCTGAAAGGAGTGTTCAAAGAGGCACTTCAAAATGTTGCATATTATATTCTTCACTCAACTACTGAATAGAAGCAGTGCTGCAAAGAAATCTTTTTATCTTTTTTTTTAAATGAAATTATATTGAGCGACTTGATATCAGATGGTAATATATTATACACATGATAGTCTGGTGAATTTCTTTGGAAGACTGTAAGCCTGTACCTGGGAGTTCTGATATAATCTGATCGTCTAGTATCATAGGAATGTACTTGAGATTGTGTTACCAAATTTCTTGTTTGTCTATGTATTTCTATAAGAGTCTCATATATGTATTAGGAAGGTAGCGATAAAATTTTGGGGCGAACAAATAAAGAACGACAATGTTCTCTGCTATTACAATTTAAAATTATTCTCAGGAGTTACCCCACATTATGATACCGTAACTCTTATGAGCATGAAAAAGTGCAAAGTAGGTACTTTTCAGAGTATCATGATAAACATATCTCTTCAATTGCCGAAGTGAAAATAACGTACAGTACGTACAGCTAAGTCTGTTATCAATAGTTATTATTAGAAAAGTAGAAAATCAAATCCTCTCTTTCCCAAACTCTCCATTAATTTTGATATCAGCTATTAACAGCATAACATTAAAGTCACAATTTCCCATGAACTAAATCCAATAGTTTCTTGTTATTGCAATGATCTCGTTATCAGTTGATATATAAAAATTATATAGAATTTACTAAACATTTTCGTTCAAAAAATATGAACCTCAGCGCTATCAATGTTTATCTCAGTTCATAGTCTTCTCTGCAGAAGGTAAGTGAATATTTCTCAAAAAAATTGAAAATTCAAGTGGGTTTTTCGGGTTTTTGAAAACACATTGAAAACGCTACGAAAGATCAAACATGTGTCATCAATTAAATACGCGATGAAACACATACTTTTATACAGGGTGTAACTAAATAAGTGTAAAACATTTAAGGAGGTGATTCCTCATCGAAAAAAAGATAGGATCCTTCATATAAAGAAATTTCATTGGAGCATCCCTTGTTGAGATACAGCCCCTTGAAGGGGGCACATAAAATTTGTCTAACAATTTTTTTCACGAGCACTAAAAAAGTTACAATACTGAAATTAACCTGACGTTTTGTACTACCAAAGAGACACTTAGCCAGAAATTTATTTGGTTTACCCCATAATTTTCAGGGGTGGAAAACGCAACCCCTAAAATTCATTTCCAATGTAACTTTTTGTCTTATTATTTGTTTACCATTTAAAAATGTATTTCCGATAACCTGTTTCATTCTCAACAAAAAATGTCTCTTGGGTTTTTTGCCCAAAATAAACCAGTTCGCAACAAAAAATTATTTTACGTTAGGTTAGGTCAGGTCCAAAGTGAGCCATCCACAAGGGTTTATTGTGGCTCACAGCTATTCACACTCGACCAAATAAACCCAGCTTCCTACCGAAGCCGATTAGTTTGTATGGAGAGTGGTCTTTCGGGTCAGATGGTAAGGGTACGGCTCTGCCGAACTCTTCATTATTAATGAGGTAGTCGGATAGTCAAGGTGCAAGATTCTCTAGTCTAGTACACATGTACTTTTTTTGTAACATTTTTCAGCCCTGTCCAAAAATTAGGACCAAGGTGTCTTTCGATTCGTATTTTTGACTAGAAAGTTTAAGGGAAGGTCCGAAAACGCGCCGATAAAAATTACAAAAGTTATAAACAATTAAGTGAAAAAAAAGGGGCTTTAGTTTTTTCTTAATATCTCGGAAAATTTTTAAAATTTTGGAAATTTGAAAAAAGATTTGAAAAGATCAATGAATTTGCGTAA